ACACACACACACACACACACACACACACACACACACACACACACAGAGTTCCTTTCTTTTATGGGAAAGGATTCCTCTTCCTGTCTGTCCCATCCTGCCACCCCAACTTCTTGAATCACAGTCAAGCCTTGCAGAATGGGTGCTGCCATCTTTAGGGTCTCTGCTCCAAATTCTGTCCTAGCATTAAGTCAAAGCACCACATGGAATCTGCCTGCTGGCCTTACTTTGCTTCTCCTCTGCTGCTGTAAACAGAGCTTCTGGGACAGTAAACAGTCCACTCGTTTAGTATAGATGACTGTTTCATGTATCTGTATCAAATACAAGCTTATAAATAAAACCTTGCTTGAGCATATTGTAAAATCTCTTCGTTCTGTTGATCCAGGATCTTCCTATGAACATCAAGTTCATCCTGGAAGGGATGGAAGAAGTTGGTTCTGTTGCCCTGGAGGAACTTGTCAGAAGAGAAAAGGACCATTTCTTCTCCAGTGTGGACTACATTGTGATTTCAGACAATCTGTGGCTCAGCCAGAGGAAACCAGCACTCACTTATGGAACCCGGGGGAACTGCTATTTCATGGTGGAGGTACTGGCAGGCTCCACTTGTGGAGGGAGACTGGAGCTATGGACAGGATAGAAAAATGATGGAGGACCTTGAAGAAAAGGTCAGGATGTTCTCACTTGGGGCTCAAGGCCTGGGAGGTCACAGAAGTCTTGGGGCTTGAGGGTGTAGTCCACAAACTCCTGAAATCTTAGAGTGAGTGTGCTTCAGTGTATTTGCTCTAGAGTCCTAGAGGTTTCCCTGAGAACTGTGGGTATAGGATCTAAATGCAGGAATAATACCTACCAAGATGACTACCTAGTCAGAAGTGAGACTAGCATTTTGTAACATTCTCTGTTGTGTGCCTGCAGGCCTTGGTGGCAGGGGACCATAGTGCTATGGTCAAGAGGTAACAAAAGGCTGATAGCATCTGAGGCATCATTCTGTGACACACCACAGCCGTGGGTAGATGTCTTTACATCTGAGCTTTACTTTCCTATCTCAAATGTTAGCACAATCCTCTTACCCTACCCCAAGATTATTCCTCCTTTTTAATTGTTTTCAGTAATACAGGCAACCTGTGATAGCACATACAATTTATAATATAAAGTCCTTCCTGGGCGAATCAATAGTTAGCCACTTTAGTTTTCTCACGTAACAGGTTGTAGCGACATGATGGAAATGTCCAAGTGTAGGCACTTATGAGAGTTAAATCGGTTTATGAGACTTATGAACTGGCTAGGCGTGGTAGCACATACCTTTACTGTAGCACTCAGGAGGAGAGGAGAGGCAGGCCTCTCTGTGGGGTCAAGGCCAGCCTGTTCTACATAGGGAGTTCCAAGACACCCAGGGGTACATAGTGAAAAACTATTTTTCCTGTATTGAAAAAACAAAAATCAAAATAGAAACAGTTTGAACCAAACCTTGGCATCTTTATGATTTTTTTACTTTTTGAAATGACAATATACATTTTTACAGTTGAAAAGGCATGAAGCTTGGTTGTCTAGTGTTCATGGGACCTCTGGTTCCATCCCAGTAGTTCATAAAAGAGTGAAAGAGGGAAAGAGAAAAGAGAGGGGAAGATGGAGGAGGTGGAATAGTGGAGAGGAGAGGAAAAAAGAGGAAAAGAAAACAGCATGTTCTTTGTTAAATGTGCTTATGTGAATCCCAAGGGTATATAACTGAGTAAGTCAGCCTCACAGGGAACTCACTGTAAAGAGACACAGGTACTGAGAGAGATGATGTGGGAATGCTGGGAAAAGAGGGAGCAGCAACTGGGATGCCTGGTAGAAGTGTTTGTCAACAAAGCTGGCTGTGAGAAGAAGCAATGGGGTCATTGCCAGAAGGAGCACAGACCAGATGCCAGAGAAGAACAGAGGCACCGAGGAGGGGGCAGGGGATAAAATCTATGCCAAGGGAAGGAATTAGCCTCTCTTGAGAAACTGTCAAGTAGAGAAAGTGAAGATGATGGAGCATCTTGTCTTGCTGTTGGTCTCTCTCTCTCTCTCTCTCTCTCTCTCTCTCTCTCTCTCTCTCTCTCTCTCTCTCTCTTTTTTCAGAATGATGGCCATGGGCATAGCTGTTAGTAAGAGACCCAACTAGATCACATGGCGTCAGGCAGTATGAAGGGTGTGAAATCGTGTGTCCACGTAGATGGATACCTGTGCCCCGTGTCCAAGGCAGAGAGCTCCACAAGGATAGTTTGATGCAGGCTCTTAGCTGTGTGTGTAGTAGTGAAAATGTATCCCAACGGAGACCACAGAACGATGGAGGTCATGAGCACAAATGGAGGAAAATAAAACCAAAGGTTAAGAGCTTGGTAAATATTGGAAGGGCCAAGGAACTGGTCATCCTAATGAGGACCAAGAATGGTTAATGAACTAGCAGAACAGTTGTAGGGTTAATGGGGTCCTGCATCTGCTCCACCACAGGGCTCAGCCTCTTGGGGAGGCAGGACATGGGAAGTGGACCATGCCAGGGGTGGGGAAGTGCAGTCTGAGGTCCTGGGGAAATTGGAACTGGCTAAGGGAGGACTGCAGGGAGGTCAGGGCAGTCTGGTTCTCAGGCTCTTGGACACCCAGGCACCTCTGGATGCCGCGGAAGAGTGGAGGGCCTTGGGATGTTGCCCTTACATGATTGATAGCCATAAATCTATGGAAGGCTGTGGCCTCATGTCAGAAGCCTGGTGCCCAGGAACCAGGTGAAATACCTACTGTCCCTTTAGAGTCACTGGGGTTTCGAGCCTTATCTTAACCGGGAACGAGGCTACCTTTCATGATCCTACAAATGGGAAGCTCAGGATTTCAGATGTGAGACTGTCAACCCTGCACAGTTTAGTTAGTCCAAGTGCCTAATGAAGTAAATGAAGTGCCTAATGAAGTTTCGCTCTGAGGTGACCAAATGGGAGACTTGTCTTCCACAAAGGGTTCGTGAGAGCAGGGAAAGACTGCTGGGCAGGAATGGCAGAAGGAAAGGGACCAGAGACATACTTAAAGTTTACGTGGTAACTGATGGGGACATGCTCAAGCTGGAATGAAGTAACTGTAGATGCTGAACTCCCCTCCAGGTCTTCAGAAACTGGAAGTGGTTCTAAAGGCAGTGGTTCTAAAGGAAGTGGTTCTGAGCAACCACAGTTTTAGGTCTGGGATTGGGCAAAAGGTTCAGAGCTACGAGGATGACAACTGAGAGGTAGGAGATGGTAAATGACCTTGTGTGAGTTACTCCAAGCTTCTGAGGCAAAATCAGTCATGGAGGAAGCTGTAGAGGAGATAAGCAGAAAAGAATTATGAAAGGAAAACGAGGGAAATGACTCTGGGTAAGAGTACTTGCTGTAGACGCATTAGGGTCCCATGTAAAGCTGGATATGACTATGGGAGTCTATAACCCTAGCATTGGGGAATTGACCAGCTGCCATAGGCAAATTGGTGGACTTCAGGTTTAGTGAGAGATCCTACCTCAGGGGAATAAAGTGGAGAGCATGAAGGGAGACACCTGACATTCTTCTCTGGCACAATTCCCTGTACACAGTGCACACCCTTGCACATAGGTACACACATACCCACACACTCACCCTACGTAATACACACACAAACACACACACACTCCTACTCACACACAGAGGGAGGGGAGAGAGAGAGAGAAAGAGAAAGAGAGAGAGAGAGAGAGAGAGAGAGAGAGATTAAAAGAGGCATCAAAGAATTGAGTACAATTGAAAAGACAAATAAATCACTGCGATCAAAAAGAGAAAGACTTCTCAGAAATCAGAGGAAGAAGCATTCTCCTAAGAGGTGACCTAAAAAGCATGATACAAAGCCAAGAGCAAACCAGCGCTATGAACAACAGTATTTCAGCTAAGGATGGCATCTTAGTTAGGGTTTTACTGCTGTGAACAGACACCATGACCAATGCAAGTCTTATAAAGGACAACATTTAATTGGAGCTGGCTTACAGGTTCAGAGGTTCAGTCCATTATCATCAAGGCAGGAACATGGCAGCATCCAGGCAGGCATGATGTAGGAGGATCTGAGAGTTCTATATCTTCTTCTGAAGGCTGCCAGCAGAATACTTACTTCCAGGCACTTAGGGTGAGGGTCTTAAGCCCACGCCCACAATGACATACCTACTCCAACAAGGTCACACCTACTCAAACAAGACCACACCTCCAAATAGTGCCACTCCCTGGGCCAAGCATATACAAACCATCACAGATGGTCTAATCATCTTAGATAGAACTGTGCTGGTGGAATCGTTGGGGAATGAAGGGTCTCAAGTCATGTGACTGGGAAACATAAGATGTGAGGTCAGGTCTGGAGGTCACCCACTAAAGTATCTGAAGGATACTACTAGGTATACCTTCCACCATGTGCAAATGAACCACAACATGGGTAAGTTCATTCTCTTTGATCTACTTTACAGGTGAAATGTAGAGATCAAGATTTTCATTCAGGAACCTTTGGTGGCATCCTCAACGAACCAATGGCTGACTTGGTGGCTCTTCTAGGTAGTAACTCAGTCTGTTTGTAATGTCAGTTCTATTTGTTCACCTCAGTTTCTGAACCATCTCTGGAAAAGTTTATAGTAATAGAAAAACTATATCCTCAGCTTTTTCTTCCCTCATTTGTGCTCTCTAGACTTGCTATGAAGCCTGTGCTGTGTCATTTCTTTTCATGAACTGATAATTCTGTTTTTACTTATTGTTTGTTTATTTATTTATTTTAAAAAGTTGTTTATTTTGTACACATGTATATGTGTGCAAGCACACAAATGTGTGCAGTGCATATGTGTGGGTTTGCATGTGGAGGCCAGAGGTCAATCTTGGGTGTCATTCCTCATTTCTCAGGTGTTGTCCATTTTTATTTTGGGGACAATCTCTACATTGGGATTCAGAGATTACCAAGTAGGCTAAGCTGACTAGGCTACAAGAGACTTTTATCTCTGCATCCCCAGAGCTGAATTTGTAACTGCATGTCACTGTGCTAAGATTTTTTTATCTATTGAGATAGGGTCTCACTCTTCAGCCTTGGCTAGCCTGAGGTTTGCTATGGAGACCAGGCTGATCTCAGACTCATAGAGATCTGCCTGCCTGGGCTTCTTGCATTTTTAAAATTAAAGGTGTGTGCCACATCCCCTGACACAGTGTCTGTATTTTTTTAAATTGGGTCTAAGTTATCAAATGCAAGTCCCCATGCTTCTAGGGCAAGCATTTACTGCCTGGTCCATCTCTGTAGCCCCCAGACCTTCTTTTATTGGGTATTGTGATACACTGATACACCTGGCCATACACAAAGGTAAAGACGTAGAGATCTGAAGAAGTTATAGGTGCCATCCCTGACGCCCTCCAATGCTTCTAGAACATGGGGACGGGAATGACAGCCCCAAGCCAGCTGAAGCACAGATGTCATTTTCATAGACAAAGGAGGACATTCTGACTGAAGATAAATGGCAACAACTCAGAACAGAGTTAGGTGATGTCGTGAGTGAGATCCTACCCCAGCCGCCTCTGTGCTGTCAGTGAAACCCATGATAACCCAGACCTCAGTACCCAGGGATCATGTAGGTTCTTGGTAGGAGTGACTTGCTGTGGTCATGCACTGTCACAGATCAGCTGTGTGAAATGCAGCAAGTTACTTCAATTATTTAGTCTTGGGTTCTCCCAGTTGCAAGTGGGCATCGTTCCATGTTCACCTGGTAAGTTTTCTGAGCGTTACCATTGCTGTCATGAAACGCCATGAACAAAAGCAACTTGGGGAAGGAAAAAGTTTATTTGGCTTATACTTCCACATCACTGTTCATCATGGAAGGAAGTCAGTACAGGAACTCAAACAGGGAAGGAAACTGGAGGCAGGAGCTGATACAAAGGCCATGGAAGGGTGCTGCTTCCTGGCTTGCTCTTCCTGGCTTGCTTAGCCTGCTTTCTTATAGCAGCCTGGACCATTAGTCCAGGGGTGGCCCCACTTACTATGGAGCAGGCCCTCTCACATCAATCACCAATTAAGAAGATGCCCCACAGGCTTGCCTGTAGCCCGGTTTATTTAGGCATTTTCTTAATTGAGAATCCTTCCTCTCAGATGGCCACAGCTGTGTCAAGTTAACATAAAACTAGCCAGCACATACGTGTTATTTTGAGGATACAGTAGGATGTGCATGGAGTATCCAGAGATGGTTAATGGTCTGCCCTGGCCAGAAAGAAAACACCTCTTATCTTACCAAGGACTCCAGAGACGATAGTGCCAAATATCTGAGTGCTACTTGGCATCCCTTTCCAAGGTTGATTGGCACAGAGATGCCAATGTGTTTACAGATGCAGTTCATCAAACCTAAGCTCCTGACCTCCTGCAGGCTGACTAGTCTGTGCAAACAAAGGTTTTCTCAGAGATCCAATTTTCCCAGGCTTGACCTATCTGGTAGCTCTTGTCAGCACCAATGCTGCCTAAGTGAATCCCCAGGAAGCTAGGAAAACTTAAACTTGAGGGGCCTTGCTTGTAGGAGCCTCTTCCACAGTCCTTGTGGGGGATGCTCACAAGGGTGTAGCCACACTTGGTGAAACTTTTTTAAGTTTTGAAAGTTGCACAATACCTCAGTTTGCCACATGTGGGATTGTGTTCTCTATGCAAACTTTTTCCTTTGGGACAGATAAATTGTTCAAATCCTACATGTCAATGCCCCTGGTCTAGTTGGGGCCAAACAGAGTATAAGCAGCCTGCATGGCCAGACTGCTAGAGGTTCTCATCAAGGTCCTCACCAGCATCTTTCTTTATAGCATTTTCTCTGTCATGACCCCAAATTAAAATTAAACAGTAAAATCGATCTACATTTTAATTGCCTATTTATGTATCATCTATCTATCTATCTATCTATCTATCTGGCATATATCTATCCATTATTTAGCTGACTACATACCTATTATCTATGTATTTTTAATTTTTTCTAAGACATTAATATATGTTGGCAGTATCTCATGCTTGACAACTTCAGCAAGAATACAATAAGCTTTTTACCTTCAAAGAATTCAGATTGAAAAAAAAGAATTAGCCAAGCAGTGGTGGCACACGCCTTTAATCCCAGCACTTGGGAGGCAGAGGCAAGCAGATTTTTGAGTTCGATAGTTCGAGGCTAGCCTGGTCTACAGAGTGAGTTCCAGGACAGCCAGAGCTATACAGAGAAACCCTGTCTCAAAAAAACAAAATAAAAAAAACAAACAAAAAAAAGAATTCAGATAATATAAAACTTAATATTTTGGAGTAGGGATAGTTGATCTTTTTGCCAGATTAAGTCCTCCTTCTATTTATCATCGTCAAATATTTATTTATTTTTCATAGTGTTACACTGTAGCCCAAGCTGGCCTAAAATTTATAACAATCCTCCTGTCTTAGCCCCCAGGTGCTGGGAATAAATCAATATTTTGAGTTTCATATTGTTAAATCCCAAGCAATACGTTTCAACTTTTTCCTCAAACATGAGGACTGTGAGACTTCTCATTAGACCGTTAGACTAGTGGCTTTAAGCCAGAAATGGAGTTTCACTGAGCTTCATAAATAGAACAAAATCACAGGTTATACTTCTGTCTGCTTTTGATACAACACAAACAGTGCATGAGAATGTACCTTTTGGATTTGCACTCCATACGCTTTCTGAGTGTTTTTACAGAATCACAGGACTGCAAGGTTGATTGCAAATGTTGGTCAAACTAACAGGAATTTTGCTTGCTGGCATGCTGTGCTGTGTTGGAGAAACCTCATCAGGAAACTAAATCCACTGCACTGGCTCAGGGGCTACATCAGCACACTGGTTTAGGGTTAAATCAGGTCAAAGCATCTTAGGGGAGCTGGTTGTCTTATGTCTTCCCCTGATGACTGACAGGTAATGAATGCCTATTCACCAGAGGCTAAGAATCCAGAGCCATCTTTGCTTTACGCAAGTCTCTGGCCTTCATCATCCTCTGCCATTCATCATGGGGCTTGGGGCTACTGACTATTAACCAACAGTAATAAATGCTTACTGAACACCAAGTGGGTAAAGCCTGTGCTAACCCTGGTCGGGGAACAATATAGAATCAAATAAGTTCCCTGTCTCAAACAGTTGTGGGTTGGGTAAGCAGAGAGCGGGAAGAATGGAATACTGTGCTCACAGATAAATCTCCAGCCAACAGTGGCTTTTCCTTTTCAATTTTTCTACTCTGCAATTTTTAAAGATCACAAGGACAATGGAAAGACCATTGACCCAAGAGTGGTTTTTTCTTTCTCCTGTCTTTCTTTGTTTTCGTTTCATATGGTTCAGACAGGGTCCCTTAGCTTAGGTTGGCCTTAGACTCAATATTTAGCCAAGGAAGGCTTTGAACTCTTGACCCTCCTGCCAGAGAGCTGGGATGATGGGCATGCACTGCCATGCTTAGCTCATTCAGTACTAGAGATGGAGCCTAGAGCTTCAGAAATGCTGGGTAAAGCCCTGTATCAACTGAACCCTAGCCCCAGCCCTGTTTTCTCATCTTTTGAGACAGGATTGACCATGAGAATCATCTTGCCTTTACTTTCCAAGTACTGAGATTATAGGGAGGTATGAGTGTCACCATGCCTGGTTGTCAAAGGCACTATAAATACCTAATATCTGATATCATTTATAATGTCAAATTTTTAAGGTGCTCCTGGGAGCGACGATGATGTTTCCAGTGGGGGCTTCCAAGACAGCTCCTTTCCCCTCCATGTACTTTCCAAAGTGACTGTGTGGTCTCTGGATCATGATGTTCACGGAAAGTGAGCAGGGGGAGGGGAGGGATGACCTTGTGATGGAGTAAATGTACCAATTGTGAACAATGATATAGTTTCCCTAATGCAAGATCGCTTCTAACTAGCAGATGTGGACATTCCATGTCCCTGAGGGCCCCTCTGTGGATCTCCTTAATCAGCTCTCACTATGAGTGAACTGTAAGGGAAGAGAAGATGGATAACACGTCTTCTCTCAGCCAACATGTACGCTCACAGACATTCCTTGCAGTGGAGAAGATGGTGGTGCAAAATCAGTATTAGAATTTTAAAACCCAATGTGTGCCAAGAAATCTAGCTATGCTCAAACCTCAGCATAGTCTACTGAGGACATCTGGGTTACCATCATCTTCATCAAGAATGCTACCGTCCAGTATCCTGATTCTTTGGCTCAGTCTGCCTTTGATGCCTATAGTACTCAGATATACTTGACAAAAGGACTAAACTAACAAAAGTCCTGCCAAGTTCTATAAAAGGTTTGAGTGCCAAGATGTCGTCCATCTTGCACACGATCTCCTTGGATCAGCTACCCTGCCTGGCCATGCAGTCTGATTGGCTCCCTGTGGCTCCTCCTCCTGAGTCAGCATTCCTCTTCAGAGATCTTCTTGTACAAACTACTTAACTCCAAAGTTTTTTTTCTGGCTAGAGTTATGAACAGGGCCCATGTCACACATTTCCCTGTCTATCCTTGCATCCGAGACTGTGAGGAAAAGCAAAGAGGTGCATGCTCAAGGAAGATTTTGTGATTGTATTATTGGTGATGTTTTTATGTTTTTGGTTTAAAAAAAATACGTTACAAATTGGTACTAACTAGGCTCAATCCTTCAGTGTCTGTCTGTCTGTCTGTCTGTCTGTCTCACTCTCTCTCTTTCTCCATCCATCTATGTGTCTAATACATATGTATGCATGTGGAGTATATATACATATGTATATTCCTGTTTATCTGTAATAGGTGTGTGTGTGTGTGTGTGTGTGTGTGTGTGTAAACATGTGTATGGATACCAAAGACAGGCATCTGTTGTCAGTCTTTTGTGCCCAGGGCTCTTTAACTCAGCTATTTTCACTAGTCAGTCAGCTTGTCTTGGAGATGCCCTGTGTGGTGGTTTGAATAGCCATCCTATGTTTTAAAGTATCACATGTTCCTACAGAATATAATTTTTTGTTGACATAATTTGGCTTATTAAATACTAAAATAAACACCACTGGTTCCAAGTGCAGGTACCAGCACTTATGACTGATCGCAACACCCAGAAGGAAAAGAAAGTGTAAGGGACCAGTGTTCTGAGCATCAGTCTCAAGACAGTACCAGAAGGGAAGAAAATCAAACCAAGCCAGAGAGAGAGAGAGAAAGGGGGGGGAGGGGAGGAAGGCAGGGGGGAGGGGGGGGAGGGAGAGAGAGAGAGAGAGAGAGAGAGAGAGAGAGAGAGAGAGAGAGGAGAAAGAGAAGTAAAGGAGGAAAGGAACTTCATCCCCAGCTAGTGGCTCCTCTTTTGAGTCTGGAATGTATGACATCATCAACTGTACTGTGAGGATGACCTACAGCATATTATTTAGCACACAGTGCCATTCACTGGGCTAATGATGGGACGGTGTAACCCTGGACTAGAAGCACAACAGTATTCAATACTTTCTTGTAGCTCAGTCATAGAAGGAATAGTAGGAATAGTCTTGGGGAAGCTCTGGGCTTGAGAGGGGCAACGAGGAGCTGATGAAATACAGAACACTGATACTTTCCCATGCACTCTGATACCTTGGCACACTTGCACTTCAAGTTTGACTTCCTGTGGCCATTTTCCAGGAGACTGCTGTCCTTTCTGGTTGTAATTTTGTCTATGGTATATATTTTATTTGTGTGTGTGTGTGTGTGTGTGTGTGTGTGTGTGTGTGTGTGCATGTGTGCGGTGTGTATGTGTGTATGTGTATGGGAAAGCTGAGAAAAGATTTTGGGAAGTTTCAGTTTCTTGTATGGGTTTATATGAATGCCTGTGTAAAATATGCATGTATATATATTTAATAATTTATAACTATCATTTCTTAATTTGGTATAAGATAAAATGTAAGCATGAGGCTTACTTGTGATATTAAAGGTGCAGGCCCATGTCTCGGCTCCACCCTTGGCTAGTAGCCAACGGAGCAGTCTGACTCAGGCTGAGCCTGCCTTGCAACCACTTCCTTCTTGACACTACAACCTCTTGGTTAAATGGAATTGCTGCCAGTGGTTCTGGCCAGGGGACAGAAGCAGTCATGTGGCTGTTTTTGCCACCTGGGTGGGGGGTCTTATCTGGCCTGGCTCTAGGACCGCAGCATTGGTACATTTGTAATCTCTGCATCTCTTCTGTAGGTAGCCTGGTGGATCCATCAGGCCACATCCTAATTCCTGGGATCTATGATCAAATTGCTCCTATTACAGAGGAAGAAAGGACAATGTACAAAAACATCGAACTGGACCTAGAAGAATACCAGAAGAGTAGCCAAGTTGAGAAATTTCTGTTTGATTCCAAGGTATAACCATAACTGCACACATGATCTAAATGAGGATGCTGCTCCCAAATCATGTTTTCTGAGTGTCTAATCAGCACCACACAGTGTAGGCCTGTGCATCTTATTACACAGATGAAGATTAAATTGCAGGCTTATTTTTGACATTCACGGCCGCCAGCCACTTTCCTCTGGTCTGGATCAGTTGCCTACGGAGGAGCAATTGATACAGGCTTCAGCATCTAACTATGAATAACGACCCATTCGGCAGCAGTGTCTTTCCACAGCACTTTATTAATTTAAATCCCATTCCACTTTCTGTCAGGGAGCTGAACTTTCTGAATGTTCAAAAATTGGGAACCACTGTCTGAGACATCAGCTCCAACACGTGTAATCGTTCACTTTCTCAGGTCATTACCAAGACCTTTCAGGGCTGAAGGGCAAGCCACAACATTCCCTTCCCAGGGCTGTGGAGATGCTTAGACCTCAGAGCAGAAATCCCTAAAGAATTTAAAGTTTCTGTTTGTTCATATTCTCCTTTGTTTTTTAAAGAATATTTTGCCTGCTGAGGGCTGAAGAGATGACGTAATGGTTAAGAGCATGTGTCATTGCAGAGGATGAGTTCAGTGTGCAGCCCGAATGTTGGTTGGCTTACAACTACCTGTAACTCTAGTTCTAGGGGATCTGATATCCTGCTCTTGCCTCTTGAGGCACTGTACTATATTCATATGCACAGACGCACCCCACACAAACACACACATAAACATTCACACACATACACACGCTCATATACACATACATACACATTCACACACATTCGTATACACACTCATACACACACATACACACACTCATACACATTCATACACACACTCATACACATTCACACACACATACACACACTCATACACATTCACACACA